CCCCCCTCCCTTTTCCCTCCCGCATCCCCGAAGGGGCGGCCGCCTCGCCCCCTCCCCGTCGCGGTCCCGCCCGGCCGGGCCCGGCCCAGCGGCACCTCCCGACTCTCGGGGATTTCCTCCGCGCCGGAGCCGCCCCCGCCGCAATCCCTCCCGGCCCGGCGGCGGCCCGTCCCCGGAGGCGCTTCCTTCCTGCGGCCGGAGCTCTATAAAGCTGCCGCCCCGGTCGGCGGCATGACAGAGATTCGCCGCGCCGGCCGCCCGCCATGCGGCGGCTCCCGCTGCCGCTGCTGCTGGCCGGACTGGTGCTGGGGTTGGGGCTGGGACTCGGCGAGCCGGAGCCGCCCGTCCCGTCGGGGACGCAGTGCCTGGAGCACGACTGCTTCGCCGTCTTCTGGGAGCCGGGGCCCTTCGCGGCGGCCAGCGCGGCCTGCCAGCGGCACGGAGGCCACCTGATGACCGTGCGCTCCACGGTAGCTGAGGATGTGATCGAGCTGCTGCTGCGGAACCGCGGCGGGCGGCTGTGGCTGGGGCTGCGGCTGCCCACCCAGTGCACCGAGCCGGCGCAGCGCCTGCGCGGCTTCCAGTGGGTGACCGGCGACACCCGCACCGACTACGACAACTGGGCGCCGTCGCGGCGGCGTTGCGGGCAGCTCTGCGTGGCGGTGTCCCGGGAGCTGAGCTGGGAGGAGCGGCGCTGCGAGGAGCCGGCCGACGGCTTCCTCTGCGAGTACAACTACCCCGACAGCTGCCCGCGCCTGCCGCTCGCCGACGGCGCGTCCCTCGCCTACCGCACCCCCTTCGGCGCCACCGGCGGTGACTTTCTGGCCCTGCCGCCCGGCTCCACCGCCGTCGTCTCGCCGATGGGGCTCCAGCTGCTCTGCGAGGCCGCGGCCTCCGGCGGGAGAACGCGCTGGGGCCGTTCCGAGCCCGGAGCCTGGCCGTGCCTCCTGGCCAACGGCGGCTGCGAGGGAAGCTGCGAGGAGTTCGACGGGGCTCCGCGCTGCGTCTGCCCCGCGGGCAAGAAGCTCGGCCCCGACGGGCGCGACTGCCTGTCGCCGTGCGCCGGTGCTCCCTGCGATCAGCACTGCGTGCCCGACGGGGAGGACTTCCACTGCATGTGCACCGAGGGCTACGAGCTGGGCCCCGACGGCAGCAGCTGCCAGGACGTGGACGACTGCGTCAAGGTGCCAGAGGTGTGCGAGCAGGTCTGTCACAACACCGAGGGCGGCTTCGAGTGTCGCTGCCATCGTGGCTACGAGATGGTGGAGGGGCACTGCATGCCCGTCCCCAACTGCAGCACCGGGCCCTGCGACCACATCTGTGAGGACGTGCCCGGCAGTTACCGGTGCAGCTGTCACAGCGGCTACGTTGTCGACCCGAACAATCCCACCCAGTGCGTGCGGCAATGCGAGGATGGCAGATGCCCGGCCGAGTGTGACTTCAGCAACCTCTCCTGTTTTTGTCCTGAAGGCTTTGTGACGGACCACCTGCCCGACGGTGTCACGCTCTGCGTTGACATTGATGAGTGTGAGAATAATTACTGCGAGCACAACTGCACCAACACGCTCGGCAGCTACGTGTGCCACTGCCAGCCCGGCTACGAAGCCTTTGACATCAACCACTGCCGACCCATCTCACAGGACGACAATGTGGATGAGTACTCAGGAGATTCTGACCCCTCCGTGCCTGTCCCCAGCCACGTCCCACCCAAAGCAGAGCACCTGCACCCTGGGGCACTGGTGGGCATCACGATGGGCGTGCTGTGCGCGGCGCTGGTGCTGCTGGCCGTCGGCTACCACGTGGCGAGGAAGCGCTGCCATCCCCCCAGCTCGATGGAGTACAAGTGTGGCAGCCCCCGCGAGAAAGAGATGGGGCTCCAGCAGGTGTCTGCAAGCCAGAAAGTGTAGGGAGCCTGGCAGCGAGCGGGAGGTGGATGGAACTGGGTAACGTTTGGTTGTAACCCCCTTGGTTTTGTAAGGAGAAAGCGAGGAAAGCAGCTCATCGCATCGACTTCTCGTGTTGCTCACCTTGCCTGTTGCATACAGACCTCAGATTGCCAGCAATGCAGGGACCCCACAGAGCATCACCTTGGTGGGGCTCAAGTGCTGATTTCTCTCCCCTCCCACCACTTGGGAACTGTTTGGGGGTGACATGGGTGTTCCAAGAGCACTGGGGTCATTTGTAGGAAAGGCATTTTCAGCGCTGGTGACACTGTGCCTTTTTTCCTCTTGTGTTCTTTCTTTTTTTTCCCTTTTTTAATTTTTTTTTTTTTTTTTATCCAGGGTGAGTTTAATTTGTGTGGAAGTTGACAGCAAAACTTCCTGGTGATGTTTGTGATGTTTGTGTTCCAGACCTTGCTGCTTGCTTT